TAGATTGGTTTTCAAGCCATTGCTGAAGCTCTTGGACTTGCTGCTGTAAAGGCAGCAGTTGCCATCACGGCCATAATTGCTGGTGGACGCTTGGTAAGTCTTTGTACATCCAAAACTTTCGAGAATTATGTCAATGAAATGGGTGAATTCCCAGGAAAAGTAACTGCACGGTTGGTTTAGGCATTTACAGTTGAAGCTTCAAATGGTTCAACAGACTACCTAGTCTCCATTGTTGCAATCTTGATTGAAAGTAATGCTAAACCATGTTCTCTTAGAGTAAAGGACTGGGAGGAGAGGAAACATATATTTCATATTGCTTGAGAAAACAAGTTTGGAACGTTTTCCAATTTTTTACAAGCTCTGTTGTTTTATCTCATCAAGTTCTTTTCAGAGTTAAGTTTGTGTGTTGAACATAATGTTTCTTTTTGTGGTTTTGCAGCTGCTTCGACCAATTTATAGGCAAATTGCAGAAAATCAAAATGCAGAAATATTTTCCGCCAATACTTTGCTTGTTATTCTAGGAACAAGTCTTCTCACTGCCAGGGTAGATTGTGCATTCTATGTCTTTTAGTTAATTTATTTTTGGGTCGTTCCTGAGAGTTACAAAGTTTTGTGCTTTTCTTTTGTCTCTTGAATAGGCTGGACTATCCATGGCATTGGGAGCATTTTTGGCTGGTTTGCTTCTTGCAGAAACTGAATTTTCTTTACAGGTTGAGTCAGATATTGCTCCATATCGTGGTCTTCTACTGGGCCTCTTCTTTATGACGGTATGTGGTTTCTGGTGGCAATTGTTTGAGGTTGAATTGAGAGAATAATTGAGAAATAGAGAGGGAAGACCTTCCCCCAAAACTACTTTTTGTTCAAAAACAGAAAAGAAACCCCTGACATAGTCAGTCCACTCTCGGGTTGATCGTACACGTCTTTAATTGGTTGGGATGTCAATCCATGATTTCCTAGCATTTCTTTCCATACCACCTCAAGAATTTTGAACAAATATTACATACCGTAATCTAAAAGTGAGTCATAAAGTGTCACTCTTTCTGTAATGTTAGATGATACTGCTTGTAAGAAACAGTTCTCTGTGATTGCTTGAAATGGATTTTCTTCTGGATTATATGATATCAAGGAAACTTAGCGGATTGTTTAAAACGAAATTATCCAATTTCTAATTTAGAGAAGGATGTTACTTGATTTCTTGACTTTGAAGTTGTTTTTAATTTTAGTCAAATGATCCTGTCAGTCTATTGTCTTTACAATGTCGCTCTTATATCTGCAATTTGTAACAACTATTTTTATGGGTTTTCAGGTTGGAATGTCTATTGATCCGAAACTTCTTCTTTCAAACTTCCCGGTTATAGCTGGATCATTAGGACTTCTGATTGGTGGCAAATCCTTATTGGTTGGTTTGATTGGCAAACTGTTTGGCGTTTCAATAATATCTGCAATAAGAGTTGGTCTTCTTCTTGCTCCTGGTGGAGAGTTTGCATTTGTTGCATTTGGTGAAGCTGTTAATCAGGTTGATTCCTTTAGCCGTTGATAGTGCTTCTGAGAATTGCTGGTTTGCATATAGCAGCTATAAAAATTTACCAAGTTTATATGGTCTTTTTGGTGTTTATTTCGTACAAGTAATGTAGTTGTGGATAGTAGCCTTCTTTTAATGCATTAAAGGTGTTAACCAATATTACAAATTAAGATTCATAATGTTAAGTTGACAGGGTAAAAACAATACTGAATGTTTTTATTAAATTGCTATTGAAAATTGACTAACTACTTTGCTAGTTGGTGTTATATGCAGCTTTATGTCTTCTCAGCCATTCTGCAATGTTAGAAGTATCGTATTAACTGTGGCATCTGCAGGGAATAATGACTCCTCAGTTATCATCTTTGCTCTTCCTTGTCGTTGGAATTTCAATGGCCATCACACCATGGCTAGCTGCTGGAGGGCAGTTAATTGCATCTCGTTTTGAGGTGCATGACGTTCGAAGTTTACTACCAGTTGAGAGTGAGGTAAAATGCCTGACGAAGATGTACTGTTGTCACTCTTGATGCTCTGCCTAGACTTATTGTTAAAAAGCATTGTCTCCCACCCAGAAAATCCTTTTAATTAGAATCTACAACATTATATTTCCCTGTTTATTTAGGAAATTGATTAGCATATAATAACTGCAACTATGCACTTGATATTTGTTAATTCTTATTTTCTTGTTGTTTAGGTTGTGTTGGAAATGAAACAAATATAATTCTTCATTAATCCTCGACATTTTTTGGCAATTACTATTTACTGATAATTGGTGTCTCTTGGATTGCTTACATTTTCAGACGGATGATTTACAAGGTCATATAATCCTCTGTGGATTTGGCCGAGTTGGCCAGGTTGTAAAAAATTGCAGCTATCATACAATTAATTCTATATCTTTCAAGCTTTTACATGTATTTGTACCGTTTGTAATTTGTTTTTTCCCTCCCTTTTTATTTTCAGATAATTGCGCAGCTTCTTTCTGAGAGTCTAATTCCATTTGTAGCTCTTGATGTGAGGAGGTAATCTTGAGGACATTTCGGAATTTGCTTTATAATTGATATTTCTAGAATTACTACTTTGGATGTTTACATGCTAGATTCATGTGTATTTAACAACTTCATGTTAGTCTAGTTTGTCTGTACATCTCAACGGATGGTTTTTGGAGTTTATTTGTGTTCTTAGCCAGTACCAAGGATGTGATAACAATAAAAGAGTATATTTCAAGGCCTGAAAATCTTTGGAATGGTTGTTCTCCAGAATTAGGGTTATAATTCTGCAAAACACTGCAACTCATAATGCCTCGTTATTTTGTTCTTTGTTGTTCAGTGATAGAGTGGCAGTCGGACGCTCGCTGGACCTTCCAGTCTACTTTGGAGATGCTGGTAGCCGAGAGGTATGTAAAATAAGTTGAAATTATAGTTATTTCACATGCGAGTTTATGATTTGAAAATGCTTTCTACCCCATGAGTAGGTGCTCCACAAAGTTGGTGCTGAAAGAGCATGCGCTGCAGCAATCACTTTAGATTCTCCTGGTGCAAACTATAGAACTGTTTGGGCTCTGAGCAAGTATTTCCCTAATGTGAAAACTTTTGTTCGTGCTCATGATGTTGATCATGGTCTTAATTTGGAGAAGGCTGGGGCTACAGCGGTAATAGTTTTATGCCTGTTCTTAATATGCTTTCTGTTGCCTGCACCTGTCCAAAGTTATTTAATGGATTAGTATATTATTTTATATATTCTTAAGCAAGATTTTCTGTAATGGCGAATGAGTGGCTTAAAAATTGGAATGTTTACTTATAGGTTATCTATCATGCGTCGCATTCATGAGTTGACTAATTCTCACGAAACTTGCAGGTTGTCCCAGAGACCTTGGAACCTAGTCTACAGTTGGCAGCTGCTGTTCTAGCTCAGGTAAATTAGTTGATTGTCGATATTTCTTTTGACTTCCATCTAGATGTAAGGATCTAACAGTTGGGACACTAGTGATCTCCAATTGCACCTCTTTTTAAGCATCATAAGCCAATGCCGTTGGGAGAAAAGACATTAACCCACATAGTATATCATCGAGCAGAGATTGGTTGAATGGGTCGTGTAAATGGCGTGAGCTTGGTTTTATTTCCATAAATTTGTACATTTCATCATTAGATGGCCATCGTGGTGGATTCTTTTTGCTGTATTGTCTTCAAATGTTCAACAGCTTTGCCCACATTCTTCTTTTCTTGTTTTTGAACTTGACATTGCAGTTTTATGATTGTAACATTGTTTTCGCTGGAAGTGTCTAACGTCATCGTCTCCTCTTATTTTATCTCCTCCGCAGGCTAAGCTACCCATGTCAGAGATCGCATCAACAATCAATGCGTATAGGTCCCGTCACCTTGCTGAGCTAACTGAGGTACTCCACGTTTAATTTATCTCATCGTCTTCTCCTTTTGTTTTATTTTATTTTATTTCTCTTCATCCCGATACTTGAGATAATTGTATTTATGTTTTTCTTCTACAGTTATGTGAAACTAGCGGAAGTTCTCTTGGCTACGGGTTTTCTCGAATGATGAGTAAACCCAAAACTCCAACTCCGGATTCCACAGATGAGAACCAGTTCACTGAAGGAACACTGGCAATCTAGATGGTGGCACTGGCAAGCAAGGTAAATGATAAAAGGAAAATGTAGAAACAGCTCGACAACTGTATAGCAGATTACTTCTTCGATTTTGTGCCCGAAACGAAAACTATTCATCTTCCAATGGGTATACATTGTACAGAAAATACACCGAAGAGGCAATCAATGGCAAACAGTTGGCTGACAAACTTTTGTTCGATAAACTTTGTTGAACAAACCTATATTCTTGATGCATCCTTCTGTCTGAAGGCACCACCATTAGTTCGTGTTTCTTTATTTCCGGACGAAAATACGTTGTTATGCGGTTTATGGCTTTGCGGGCTGTAGAGCGAAAATTATGTAACATTAAATGATTCGAAAAATCAATGCGTGAGATTAAAAATAAAAAAAATGAAAAATAATAATTGTAAAAATTAAATTTAACATTTGTAATATTGAAACCACGTCAAAAAATTATGCATTTTTACTTTTAATTTATATATATATTTTTTTTTTTGAGAAATGAAATTATTTGAGGTGGGTTTAGTCTCATAATGGACTAACAATAATATGGTTCAAATTCGTCAACGAGAATCGAACCTAAAACCTTACTTACAAGTAAATAATTTGTTCATGCAAGCATAATTTGTTCTTTTTTAGAATGGGGTGTGATATCTTTATTTTTTTGTACTTCTTACATATCTCTTATTAATTTATGTTTTTTTTATTTCCTTTAATTATGTGTATAGACCTAAAAAGCAGAGTGTGGACACCGCTTTTAGAATTTCACCGCACTGTTTTTCTACTCTTTGTGACACACAGCTAAAAGCCTAAAACCCCAAAAGGGTTTTTTGAAGTTTGATCATAACGCACCGAAAACTCCTATGTTCTTCATCTCGTTGTCTGATAAAACATCAGATGGCTTCGATGGTATTCACGGACTGCTCCTCCACAACCACGCCTCGCCTCCTCCCCTTTCGGCGGAACCCCCTCTACCGCAACCACGGCGCCGTTTTCCTTCGCCCCCTCGTAAATCCTAGCTCCCCTAGACGCCTCTCCCTGCACTCCTCCTCCGCTTCTTCTTCGCCGTCTCCGTCGCCCACCGGTACGCCTTTCTTCCCTCTCATACATACCTAATTGGAGTTTTGTTGTAAGAGTGTAATTAACTGTTTGAGAGTGTATTTGTTTCCCTGACGCATTTCATCGAACACGTAGAGGGCTATGAATAAAACCTTGGCAGCATTCTAAAAGCAATTTCTGTAATTTGGTTGTTGAATTTCCATTTTGCAGTTTCCTTGGCCACTGAAGCATCGGCAAAAGTGATCGATGGGAAAGCCATTGCGAAGCAAATCAGAGATGAGATCAATGCAGAAGTGTCGAAGATGAAGGATGCAATTGGCATTGTTCCGGGTTTGGCAGTTATTCTTGTTGGGGACAGGAAGGACTCTGCCACATATGTGCGCAACAAGAAGAAAGCTTGTGAGTCCGTGGGTATTAATTCTTTCGAAGTGCGCTTGCCTGAGGATTCCCCGGAACAAGAAGTGGTCAACTCCATCGCGGGGTTCAATGATGATCCTTCAGTTCATGGCATCCTTGTGCAGCTACCCCTGCCTTCTGTATGCTTCTAAATTCCAATTTTGCTTTCCCTTTGTGAAATCATGTTTCAGTCATAATAGAAATAACAAGTTATTCAAACGTTTTAAAGTTAAATCACCAATTTTGCATAATTTCAAGCTCTTTAGTATATTCAATTTCGCCAATATCCTTGTTTAGAAAATAGAGAACTGTTGGTCATGGAGGTTGGTGTTGTAGGGCACGTTTGGAAGTGCTTTTAAAATGACTAGAAGTGCTTTTGGTGAAATTGATTTTGGGTTCCAAAAGCACTTTAAGTGCTTTTTGGAAGATGCACCAGATATGTGATTCTTCCAGGAAGCACATAAAGTGCTTTCCAGGATTCACTTGGATTTTTACTAAATTAGTTTCAAAAACATTTTCACCAAAAGCGCTTTCAGTCATTTTAAAAGCACATCCAAACGAGCCCTTAGTTTCTTGAGAATGATTGACTTTGTTGGCTGTTGTCGATGGAACTCTAGGTTAGTAGGTTATTTTGCTATGTGGCTTCAGGGCTTATTCATTTTAATATTTCCTTGGGGATTTTGTCATATACACGTTTTGTGTACTTAGCTATGAATTAGATAAGTACATGTTGGTTCCCCATTGATTTGCCTCCCTTCTGTCCTCATTTTGTCATTAAAACATGAGTCATACAGGATGTATGTGGAGTTCTGTATAACTTTTCACGAACATGGAAATGTAGATGAATTTGCAAACTTATTATAACTGCATTTGTTCCGTCATGATTTCCGACTAACCAGTCTAATTGTTTTTCACGTGTATGTTTCCAGCATATGAATGAGCAAAACATCTTAAATGCTGTTAGTATTGAGAAAGACGTGGATGGGTTTCACCCGCTAAATATTGGCCGTCTTGCCATGCGTGGTAGGGACCCCTTGTTTGTTCCTTGCACGCCAAAAGGATGCATAGAGTTGTTGCATAGATATGGCATCCCTATCAAGGGAAAGAGAGCTGTTGTAATTGGCCGGAGCAATATTGTTGGGATGCCAGCTGCTTTATTGTTGCAGGTGACATTTCAGTTGACTTAGTTATAAGTTATTTGTTTCGCTTCTTGAGCTAACGTAATATGCATGTGCTGGTAGAGGGAAGATGCTACAATCAGCATAGTCCATTCCCGAACCAAGAATCCTGAGGAGATCACAAGACAAGCGGATATTATAATCTCTGCTGTGGGGCAACCAAATATGGTGAGGGGCAGCTGGATCAAACCTGGTGCAGCAATTATTGATGTCGGAATCAATCCAGTTGAGGTGAGGAATGCTTTGTTGATACTCCCTTCTATCGTGCATTGACAATTAGTCCTTAAGTACATCTCTCCCTTTCTCTACTTCAACTTTGTTAAATTTGTTGTTGATTTTCCTCAAGATTTGTGAACGAAATGAAGCACTGACTTCGTTATTAGAGAATTTTCAATATCAGTGTTCTGAAAAATTGAGATTAGATGATTCAGTCATGCCATGTTGATGTTTGTCTCTGATTCAAGGTAATAGGTTTTGAGTTCGTTGTGTGTATTTTTTACAGGATGAAAAGAATCCTCGAGGTTATCGGCTGGTTGGAGATGTGTGTTACGAGGAGGCCAGCCAGATTGCTTCAGCAATTACTCCAGTTCCCGGGGGAGTGGGTCCAATGACAATAGCAATGCTTCTCTCCAATACTCTCGTATCAGCAAAAAGAATACACAACTTCCAGTAAGATGTTCAGAATTACTGTTGTGAGTCCAATTCAGTTGGAGAAGCCATCTTAACCTACCTAGATCCAAGCAACTGTATTTTATTTTATTTTATTTTATTTTGGTATCGGGAGTATGTTTCCTTTGTGCACTTATCGGTTGTGAGAGCTGGTTTATCATTTTCCCAGTCAAACGAGAAGGCCAAGCCTTTGTGCACTTTTCGGTTGTGAGAGCTGGTTCATCATTTTCCTGGTCAAACGAGCGAAGGCAGTAACTGCTGTGTGTCATCTGATAAAAATCCTGTGAAGGCATCCTCTCTACGCATTAGTAGAGATGAGGTTTGCAGACTGAATGTAATAAGTGCAATCTTATTAACTTTCGTGTTTAAATCTTTGCAAGTGCCGCATTCAACTAAGTATAGATGAGTTTATTATGTGCAAGTGCAATTTCATCGAATTGGTGACCGGCGAGGTGAAACCTAATATGTTGTTTATTAAATGTTTACATGCACCTGCTGGGACAAGTTACGGAAGAGCGTACTTTTCTTATTCTTTTGGTACAAGGAAAACCTCACATTAGAGAAATTGCGAACATCCAAATGTAGTTTTCTCAATGAAATAGGAGTTACCAACGGCTAAATCCAGATAACGACGGAAAAATTTAGAATACAGCTAGTAACCATTTGAGACCGACGATCTTCTAAATCGAAGCTCGCTGCATGGGTGGGTAAAATAAAACACAACTGCAGGTTTGCAGTCACGACAGCTTTCCACCCGAAAGATCAATTCGTGCTTCAAAATGGTCCACTCCAGTTTTGCTTTGCAATTTTGTACTCCTAAGAATTGAAACCTGAAAGATGGGAAATAAATTTAGTCCAAAATCTCGGATTGGATCCCCAGTTCCCCACAATCTTTGCTAGAAGTCAGATCTTGAAGGCAGAAGATGAAGCCAGTTCATGATAAAACGATCACAAAAGATTACGAAACATACCTTAGGCCGCTCCATGGCGCTCCCAAAATATCCTATTCCAAAGGATAAAGAAGTGTAAGCAGCTGCAATCTCTACAGCTTTCAACTTTGGGGAACTTCCTGCAACCTAAAAAGCAACATATGAACATACACTTCTTCCAGACAAATAAAACAAAACAAAAAATTCATTCAGACAACTAACACGAAAGGTTCTAGCTTGGAACTCACCATTATAGGAGCATCAGCTTGCACAAGTAGAATTCCGGCACTTCTATCAGTACAATTGTTATTACTGTCTTGAATAACAGAACGTAAAACTTTCATGCAAGCAGAGGCAGGGCCTGCCTGTGAACTAACCAATGAATATGACTGTCAAGTTCACATAATGGGTGTAAACCATAATAGATTTTATTTTCTACGCAATTGATATGGTGTATAAACTACGCAATTGAATAGGGATTGTAGGTCAGCCAACTCTATAGTTCTAATTATAACTTCGAAGAATCATGATCGCTTCAAACATTGGCCAATTCAATGTGCATTAAAGCAGGCTTGTTGGTGTGTGCGTCAGTGAGTGAGAGAAGGAGGCTATCTTCAATTTCAACATTCACGTCAAGGGTAACATCTAAGAAAAATTTATATAGCAATAAGACATACACTGATAAAGAGACGCAGGACTCACGAGCTGCAAATCCTTTCATTAGATATTCTCCAGCACCACTTACACAACAGCCAACTATACATGGAGCCCCAAAAACACCTTTGGAGGATGCCCAACAGCCTGCACCATGCATAGCTGCTAATCCCACACGCCCACCAACCTGTATTTTTTTCATACAAAAAACCTGTTGGATTTTCATTCACTAGTTACTCCAAAGAGATGACAAAGAGTGCAAATTCTTATAACCATCTGTCACCTTCAGTGCAATTCCCCCACTTGAGGCACCAGATGCTATTTGTCCTTCAGCATCCATACAAATAACACCAACAGTATCCATGATGCAATCCTCTTCAGCTCCATTATGCTTCAAATAATCGCATGGTTGAGCTTCTGATTCTAAACACGGATACAAAGATAGTGTTGGTACTCGGAAATTAGGAAATGTAGATGGTAAGTTGCACTATCAGCTTTGAAAGGAGAGGAACAGATTTTCTTTTAATATCAAAAAGCGATGAAATACCTGACATTCCAGCGGTCTCTTGAGGACTACAAGAAAGTCTAGAATCAGAGTTTTCTGTCTTTGCTCTTGCATCATCAACCATGGCTTTGTACTTTCTCCATTGTGCTTTTGCCCTTTCTGTCACCAGCCACTGTATTGAAATGCACAAGATTTATTCATCTTTTATAAGAATAAATCCACAGTAGAACTCTAGAGCCACTAAATGGAAAATTAGATATGTATCTTTCACGTTGTTTATTTCACGGAGAACATAAGCATATAAAAAAATAAAGATTAGTGATTGAGATGAAAATGATTTAAAGGTCTAAAACATCACAGTTAAAAAAAAACTAAAATATATTACCTCATCATCGGCTGTGGTACTTGGTGCCAAAGCAAGGCCCTTGGACTTTGCCCACGCACGGGCACCTTCACCAACCAGGAAGCTACACAATGACACATTCGCTCCATTATTAAAGGAAAAGAAAATAAGGGAAAAGGAAATAAGAACAGGAGGATCAGAAAAAAATACTATTACAGTATACAAATATAGAAGGAATGAAATAATAAAAAGAAAATATTGCCGAGCTTAACACAGTGATTAGAATGAAAGCTATAACTGTCTGATTAAGAGAGATGAATTAGTACATGGGAGGTATTCGGCCCAACAGAGGGGATCCCATCATTTGCTCCTTGGCCAATAAAGCAGCGACCTGGATGGGGTTTCTGACACCTGGTCTACAACATATGCAAGGGGATATTCAGTGCCGCAAGGGACAACGTATAGTCTAAATCAGTATGGAAACGGTAATATGTAAGCAGAATCAGATAAACAAAGCATCTTAAACCTGGAATTGCTCCAACAGCTCCAAATACTCCAGAATTTCCGTCCATAATACTGGCATCGCATTCTACACGACCATCTTCAGTCAAATTGGAGCCTCTGCCTGCATTCGTGCTTGGATCATCCTTTAAGACAATAATGTGATTAAAAACACAATCAATAAACAATACATTATATAGCAGGGATTGAATAGTGCTCTTGCAGAAAGGAAAGAAACCTCTACTGACAACCTCTTCGTAATTGCATATAAAGCAAATAAGAGGCACAATTCTAATCTTCTTTTGAACCTGAATCTTCTCTACTAAGTTGTTCTACATACACATTGGTGCTTTCATGAAGCACTCTGTCCTAGCTACTTGAACTTAATTCAACTGAATTCTCCAAAAAATCTATGTGACTCCAAAAGTACGCGTCAAAGTACCAAAGTTAAACCAGTTGAAACACGATTTTATACAGAACATGAGCTAAAATCCTCCTTAAATTTCCACGGATAACTCCTTCCACGCGATTTTATACAGAACATGAGCTAAAATCCTCCTTAAATTTCCACGGATAACTCCTTCCACGCATACATAACCATTGCACTTGCGCAAGAGAAGAAACAAATTTTAAATAGCACAAATACTAGATACAGACATGCATTCCCGTAGCTAACATTCGAATACACAGCGCCATATTACGAATTTCTGCTTCCAAATATACAGTCTTCTAAGAATACACAGACATACAAAGAGAAAATGTACCTCCAAGACCTGAATAGCTGCAGTAACAGCATCTATGCATCTACCAGAACCCTGAAGCAAGAATAACAAACAAAAGTTACAAAACAAAAACATTCAAATTACAAAAATGACACTACCAATTTTTTCAAGTTTCAATCTTTCCTTCTCTAATCATCCTCAGGCTTTCTGGGGAACCAAACAGTGGCTGGAACGATACAAATAAGAAAAAGAAAAAAGGTGCGTGAGAGAGAGGAACCTTGCGGAGGATTGAACCGGCGGCTAGACAAGCGCGTTTGACGGCGGACTTGAGGGCTTTCTCGTTAGATGGCGCGTGGTATCCAGCGCCGACGTGAACCGCCACGAAGAACGTGGCGTTTTCGTCTTCTACTTGCATTTGGTTCGCGGCGGCCATGGACTGGACTGGTTGACGGACCTAAACACTGCGTTTTAGCGTCTCAACTGATTTGCTTCAGTTTCTTATGGCTTACTTCATTAAAAAAACTAACGAAAACTTCTATTTAATTATCAGGATATGCAACAGTTTAGTACTATTGGGGGTTTTAAATTCGATTTTCTCCAAAAATAAATTTGAATTATATTCTTGCTAATTTACTGTGAAGTTAAGTTTACTCTTATCCCTTAGTGTAGATAACATTGTTTGGTAAAAAAAAATATATTATTTAAACCCATGCAACCTCATTTTACACTCAACTTAAAATTTTGAATGTTAATTGTCTATTTTACCCTATTGCATAATTACTATTAAGTACAAAATGAAATTAATAATAAAACTCAAATTTATCAATAAACCCAAACACTATAATTAAACCCTACGATCATTATTTGTTTATCCTACGTTCATTCCGGCTAAAACCCTAATAGCTCTCATAGAGAAAAATAAATTTTTCTATAGATGGATGATGATTTTGAAGTTTGAATCCTCCAACCAAGGTACGACTCCATTTATGAATTTTTTGTTCGTTCGATTTCAATTTTTTAGAGTTTAGAAGATAAGTATTTTGGTTATAATTTTTTTTCAATCAATCCTGCATAGTTTGTTTATCTTTCTGCAACAGTAAATTGATGATGTCGGTTTCCCTGTCCATCTGCACTCCAAAGAACCTTGGATTTCGTTTGGTGCTTCTGTTTTTATATTCTTTTTTTTCTCAAGAGTTTGGTTTCGAACTTTTAACTGAGATGCTTATACTTTGTATTGCCTGATCTGATGAGAGCTTAATTGCGGCCACAGTCATCAAAACACGAAAATAAAGCAACATCATGTGTATTTACAAGTCTATTTACAAATAAAGTTCAACGCTGATGAACTAGCCATCACAAAGGTGACTGACTGACCTCAAGCTCCTCGTCAAGCATGTGCAACCGAAACAACATGAGGGACTTTTTCGTTGTCGAAGGGCAAGATCACATACTCCCTACCAAACTCCTCTGCACCATTCACAGCCCGGAAATACATATACAACACCGTATTCGCAGCGGCATTGTAAAGCATCAGCAACACGAGAGAAGTCGCAGTCACCACAATTTGCATCAGTTGAAGCGACATCTTCTGACTTAAAATTTTAATGGGTGTAAAAATAAATCTACATATTGAATTGGGTTTATGGGGGTATATTAGGTATTAAATTTGAGTTTAAAGAGATATTAATAGTTTAGTTAAAAATCAAATAGGTGCAAAAAGTAAGTTGGGTGTATAAATAGGTTAAAAGAGTTTAAATAAAATTTCCCAAAAAAAAATTATCAGGATTTGCACCCTTCTTTCAACTTCGTACATTTTTAATTGCTATCCATGAATATCGTACTTCAATTTCTGAAAAAAAATACATCAGGATTATTAAGTTACGCGATAAAAACATATGGTTAAAAGAGTCCTCACATTAAAGAAGACAAATAATAGAAAGCACAGCATCAATAAGTTGTCCAGGAAAAAGCAAAAGGCACTAGAAGAAATTTCACATCTAAAAACAGTTTGCAGAAATGTCCAAAACAGTGCATTTCAGAAACAGTTCATATTTTCAAGGGAGTTTTAACAAACACTTCTGGTACTGTTCACTTTTAACAAAAATGACATTTTTACTATAAAAAATCACTCTTGGTACAATTCACTTACAATACCTTTTTGTCTTTTTGATTAAAACTCAAAGTTTTAAAGTCTTTTTCATTAATTTTCTTTATTTTCAAGAGCAATGACAGCCAAAAAGAAAAAGAAGATAATTTATAAATAATTGTACATCATTTTTAAAAGGTTTCTGTGTAACGTAGCACCTTATTCTTGTATATACAAAGGGTTTTCCTTCATTGTAAACACACGTTACACAACTCAGGCTCACAAGCAGAGAAACACAGAGCCTTCCTAACATGCTTTCCATCCTTGTAAAAATCCTTTGTAATCATCTTTTGTACATCAATAAAAGAGCAAGTGTACATATTCAAGCAATTCTTCAGTCTAAAGGAAGCTTTCTTTCTTTCTTTTAGTGTGTTCGTTGAATTAGACTTCAAATCCAAAGCAGGGAAACACTATTTTAGTTATATTATTAGCTTGCTAAACTAATGATCATACTTTATTCGAGCATTCTGTTATAATTTAATGTTTGTCATACAAATAACTGAACATTAACTATGGTATCTCTGAGTTCAGCCTTTGTAATCTTATACCAGTATTGTGAGTGACCGTCATGTTGAAACATGTCGAGTTCCATGTGCAAAGTTTTATGTCTAGTTGTTATAATGGTCACTCGACCATTTAACTAGGTATTTGCTCTCGAATTTGGTATCAGAGCCTAGTTTCTATCTAGGGGTTTGTGGGCCCATTCTAATGATGAACCATCTGTTTCAACTATTTTGTAAGTATCATCTAATGGTAGCGTTCATGGTTTAAGTCTAGTAGTTTCTCGTAATGACCATTATAACAACTAAACATAAAACATTGCACATAGAACTTGACATGTTTCAGCATGATGGTCACTCACAATGCAGTTATAAACCCACAAAGGCTTAACCCAAAGATACTGAGAATTCAGAGGTACTATAGCTAATGTCCAGTTGTTTGTATGGCAAACATTCAACTATAGCAGAGTGCTTGAACAAAGTATGATTATCAGTTTAACAAGCTAATAATATAACTACAATAGCATTTCCTGTTTTGGATTAGAAGTCTAATTAGCGAACACACCCAAAAAAAAAAAAAAAAAGCTTACTTAAGACTAGAGAATTGCTTGGATATGTACATTTGCCTTTTTATTGCTATACAAAAAATGATTACAAATGATGTTTACAAGGATGGAAAGAATGCAAGGAAGGCTTTGTGCTTCCCTGCTTGTGAGTATAAGTTGTGTTCCGTGTGTTTATAACGAAGGAAAGCTCTTCTTATATACATGAATGAGGGTGCTACGTTACAAAAAAACTTTTGTAGAATATCTTCTTTATATTTGGTGTTGTCACTATTTCTAAAAAAATTGGATGTTTTTAAATTGCACTATTTTTGGACATTTCTGTCAACTATTTCTAGATGTGAAAGTTTTTTCTTCTTGTGCCTTCTGCTTTTTCAACGACCACTTATTGTTGCACGTCCTTTTTGTGGATGCAAATTTCTTCCTCCTTGATCTTGGACAAAATTACACCTACAAAACAAATAACACCTTTGGTTAAGGCCAAGAGCCTCACGCGCCCACGATGAATGAGGGGGACTTTGGCTGAAAAACCTCCGATGCTAAAGTTAGAATTTTGATAGAAAAATGTTTGGGGAATTTTTTAGTGTTTAGCAAGAGTCAAGACCTAGGTTTTTAGAGGAAATGAGGTTGAATATATAGTGCATGGTTGGTCCCTTTGGGAGAGAAGGTGACCGGCCTTTTGTGTATTTTTTGGGTGTAATTGGTGGTTTAATTGGCCATTAATAGATTAATTAGGTAATAAATGTATTAATCAGCCAATTAACATAATTTAAAAGAAATGTTTTGGGGGTTACCTTGTGGAGAGAATTTGATGAGGATGGATGAAATAGGTTTAAAAATAAATACCTATTTGGGCACTTTTGACTTGATTGTAGGATGTTTGTCCACTGCCCGCGCATATGAATTATGGTGCTCCTCAACGGTAATTTTGTCCTTTTTGCCCAAAAATCCACATGTTGCCTCTTGATTATTTTTGGCTCCACAAATGTCCCCACACCTGTTGGGCTGCTCGTAGGAAAAGGCAACAGGTGTAGCGATTTTCTTGCTTTAGGAAACGTAGGATTGTTTCCTATTTTGATGTTAATTCCCTCTTTAATAGGAAATTATATCCTTCTAGGAAAGGGAAATAAATTTCTCTCAAAGCCTATTTAAGTCCACCTTAAGTGGGTTATTAAATCAACTTTGGAGAGCGATTATTCTACCTTACAAGAGAGAGATAGTTAGAGGATATTTGTTCCCCCTCCTCTAGCAATCTTCTACATCTTGCCCGTGCAAATAATCGTCTTTCGTTGCTTTCTTCGTCTTCTCCACGCTGCATCGAGGTAAGAAAAAATTCATTTTCCTTGTCTTCTTCTTAGATAGTGTTGTTGCGGGGCAGCTGTCGGGGTGGTGCGGCACATCGTTTGGCAGGGGCCAGGAGTCGGCTCGATATGGGCCAAGGAGGTGTTGTGGTAGAGACCACTGCTTGGGCTGCTCAGCTTGGCTAAAGCCAAAGGCAACTTGCGCAGTTAGGGCCACAGATTGAGGCGCTGGGGCGCAGTGCTAGGCGAGCCGCATGGCTTATGTTCTTTAGGCTTTTGGACCTGACGGGGGCCAGGCTGGCGATTGAGAAAGATGAGAAGGTCGTGGACCTCATGGGCTGCTAGAATGCAGGGTATGCATGCCTCCTACTTGCTGGTCTGAGAGAAAAAATAAGGGAAAAACCAATATGGGTTAAGTTCCCATACTGAGTACAGTGAATAACGTTGGCTGCTTAGATCTCATCGCTGGGAGAAATGTGGGTTACTCCCAAGAAAGAAGGTAAAGAGGATCTAGGCGGATACTTTGGCTCGTTTGATCACTGTCATGGAACCTACTGTGAATGAAGGTGAAAAGAAGAGATATTCCCCGTCTGCTCAAGAGATGTTGGTTAAGAAAAAACTGAAGATTTCTTTCGATGCTCGTGAGGGTCCGCCTGCTGTCGAGAGGTCTATGATTGACATGACTTCTTCCAATGGGAAGAAAAATGAGGCTGCTAGATTTGAGCCTGTGGCGCCTGCTATGTCGAGAATGGCTAATTTGATTGCTGCTAGTATTGCTCAGTGTAGAGGTCTTGTCATGCCCCCAATGCCGAAGTCTGTGTCAAAACGTTCGTTGGGAGCTAAGTTCGGCTCTTCATAAAAAGTGCTTGCTATTATAAAGAACGATAAGGTGGACTATGCTGCTAAAGTGGCGCTAAGGCCCACTCCCTTTGTTGCTGAGACTGATTCACCTGCTGGGAAGGAGGAGATTGCTCGCATGGGCAGCTGTGAGAAATCCACTAAGCCTGCT